GATTGTACTTGTCTGATGTGCAAGTCATCAGCCGGCAACTCCTCCAAGCCTTGGCCACACTTCACCTCCTAGGCAGGAACAGATCGCCGCGATCGCCTCAGGATTTGGTTTCAAGGAACATGACCTGGAATGGGGAATTCGTTGGGCAACTTTTCCTGCAAACCTGTTCAGAAACTCTGAATGTTTCGGAGGTAGTCTTGAACGGTCGTTTTTGTGGTTGGTACTGATAGTGCACACTGTACGGTAGCTGACAGGCCCAGGTTCTTTATGTTCATTATGCAGCCAAGACTGGCAGGTTTCATTCACACCGATCTGCCAAGACCTTAAGAGGCATCAGAATACATAGATTGCTTGCTTAATGACGAGTGGATTGCACTGGGCATAGGTATCAAAAAAACGAGCATCAAAAAACAATAAAAAGAGGATCAACATAAAAAAAAGCGAATCAACAAAAACATATATTCCTTGATAGGCCTCTTCTGCTGCTCTCCTGGCCCTGTGGTCTGCGGGTCCTCTGGTAATAAGGTCTCTTGGTCCTTTGGTCCCTTGGTCCTCTGGTCCATTGGTCCTTTGGTCCCCTGGTCCCTTGGTCCTTTGGTCCACTGGTCCCCTAGTCCTCCCACCTCCTGGTCCTCTGGTCCTGTGGTCCGCTGGTCCCCTGGTATCCTGGTCCTTCTGTCTCCTGGTCCGCTGGTCTCTTGCTCTCCTACTCCGCTCGTCTTTCGGTCTCCTGCTCCCCTGCTTGCACAAATCGAGGCTTGATTGCTTTCTACTAGAGGCAGCTCCCTGGGAGGAAAGTAGGTACCCAATGATGGTAGCCGTCCAGTCATTGAGTAGCCCTACTCGAAAAAAGGTTCACCAGTAGAAATAGCTCCCTACTAGGAAGGAGCTCCTAGGAGGTACACTCTCCTAGTCCCCTACTCCTTCCATCCTCTTCCCTTGGTCTCCTAATCCTGCTACTGCTACTACTACTACTACTACCACTACTACTACTACTACTACTAACTACTAACTACTAACTACTAACTACTAACTACTAACTAC